AGTGGAACTGGATGATACTGTCTCTCACCTTCTGTTGTTTGCTGTTTTCCATTTAGATATTTCTTTAGAGAGAGATCCAGGGAGAGAAAGAGGTGAGAGACCCAGAGACTAATTTAAGGGTACTTATGATGTTTTTTCAGGAACTTTGAACAGTTGGGAATATTGAGTGCTGTGGGTTGATCTTTCTTCTTTGGTATCATGATGCTTTCATGCCTTAATGTACTGTATAACTTCTGTGAATGTGTCTGAGAGGAACTGTAAGTTCATGATCCCCATAGTTATAATACTTTGCATTTCTGTTAAGATTTTGGGATCTCAGAGTTTTATAAATGTCAAGTTGGGCTCACAATACATTGGGGAGGGAAGATATACAATTATCCCTATTTATAAATGGGGAAATTGAGCTCCAAGTACCTTATGGAACTTACCCAAACCACACAAGAACTAAGAGATCAGGGAAGAGAACACACATCTCTTGGTTCATTTTCTGTGCTTTTGAAACAAACTAGGTTTGTTCCTAAATTTTAAAACATATTTCTCACTGTTAAGATTCTCCTCTGCCCCACCTGCAGTTTTCTTGGATTTTCCATTTGCTAAAGCTCTGCTGTCGATGGAACTGAAGCCAGTGGGGTTAAACTCATTATCATTTTATTTTTAACTTTTCTAGTTTTGTTGTGATATGAAATGGATCTCAGAACATTTGCCTCTTTTCCTCTACCTTTCCCACAGGAGCTGGAGTAAGAGAATAGCAGTAGACAAAACAGTATGTTGGGCAATAGGACTTTTAGCTCCTTCGTTATTCCACATTGTCACTCTTGCATTGTAGAGTGCACACATCATGCATTGAAACTGTGTTGAAGAATTATTAAAGGCACTAGGATTTTTTTCTGAACATCTTTCCTTCTTCGATCTATGACTTTTGTGTTTTGTATATCTTTTTTTTTCTGCTGGACTGTGGACTGCAGCATTGAAGGAGCTTCCTTTTCACTCATCCTTCTTTTGTACTAGGACTTGCATTACAGTATTAGAGGACCTCCCACATTGTAGAGGATTTTTTTCCCAATAAAACAGCAGCAGTTCCCCAAGGTTGGCCCCAGTGGGCCACTGTTACTGTATTTGCTTGCATCTCCACAGGTACGGGTGATTGCAGCTCCCTTTCGCCATGAATCGCTGTTCTTGGTCAATGGAAGCTGCAGGAAGCTGTGTAGACTGGGACATGGCTTCCTCTAGCTTCTGTTGACCAGGAACAGTGATTCACAGCCACAGGAGCTGCAAGTACCCATAACTGCGGAGGCGCAAGTAAATATAGGGCTGGCCCATCTGGGGCTAATCCTGTGGAACTGAATCCGGCCCACAGGCTGGTACTTGCCCACCCTTGCCTAAAGAGAAGCATTAAGGAACTCTATTATTACCTTGGTGCCTAAGTCAAGTCAACAGCTACCACTTCATAAGTGCTGATGTTCATATAATGAGGATGTTTATCATTAGAGAAAGTCTGTTTTTTATTTGCAATTTTTTGCACAATCCTGAAAGCATTCTGTGTAGAATGCACTTATTGAAGGTACAACCCAGAAATCACCTTAGTAAAATCATTAGTGTGTTACAATACCTTTTATTAGTGCTAATGAAGAAAAAGAAACTGATATTTTTATGAAAGAAGAACTGAGATAGTTAGGTCAGCTGCATGAAATGTATATTTATATTTTTTACAAAAATTCCAGTAGTCATCTTCCATGCATATTATACCTCAAAAGGAAGGGAAACTTTCTCGTAAAGCTCAGAATGGGAAAATTTAACAGCTGAGTCTTCTAGTGAAAAGTAATCTGAAGAAGTGGGTTGTGCCCGCAAAAGTCATAATACCATCTACATATTTTGTTAGTCTTTAAAATACTACCAGACTATTTGTCTAGGTTTGTCTGCATGGGCCTTGCCTCTGCCCCTGCTTCTTTTACATTTTAAAAGACCAGCTTTCCAGACAGGGAGAGGGGGGTGAGAATCAGCAATTATCTGACTTTTCTCATCCATTTGTCCTAAGGAGCATTTCTAGGACTGTTAATGAGTACTTTTGTGGAAAAATTTAAAAAACAACATAGTCTAGTAGTAGCACCTTAAAGACTAACAAAACACGTAGATGGTATCATGAGCTTTCGTGGGCACAGCTCAATTCTTTAGATGACTAGATTATTAAAAGTCCAGATCCAAGAATAAATCAGGAAAGGGAGTGGGGGAAGAGAGAAAAAAATAGTGAATTAATCAGTGTTTCTCAACCAGTGGTACAAGTACCCTTAGGGGTACTCAAGAGAAGTCGGGGGGGGGGGGGGTAACATCAACACTGAGAGGGGGGGGGGGGGGGGGGAGGGGGAGGGGTATGTCAACACAACTGAAATTTGTAGAAAACTGAATTTTTGTTTTAACTTTTACAGTGCTTTATTATTTTTGTACTTCTTATACCCAAAAATTTCATTGTCCACCCAGCTGGACAAGTTGTTTAAACAAATGTGTTGCAATGGTAGAAAAAAAAATTGTGTGTCAGAAAATTGTAGGTACTGGGGATACTTATACATTTTTTTAAAAAGGGGATACATATATATATTTTTAAAAGGGGGTACTTTATAAAGAAAGGTTGAGAAACAGGGAATTAGATTGTTCAAGTTACAAGAAAAATTTGCACCTCTATTAAGTACCCGTTGTTTGGTTGAGTCATTAGGATGTGGAAGGTAGTGTGCAATCCAGCCCATATCTTTATTCATTCCTCTCCGATAGGAATCAACATGGTAACTTAGAGATCCATTAATGAGTGCCCATCATGCCAGTTTCATGATTTTTTAAAAAACTTACTTGTGAGGTGAAGAACTGCACTGACAGTATAGCATAGTTCATACATTGGAAGGAATCTGAACAGGAAATGTCTTCTCCTTCCACCATCCCCCCCTCCCCATGCATAATGCTGTTACTATTCTTTGTTTTGGTAAGTGGCTCTTTAACCAAGATGAGGCTGGGTAGGGGATGTTTCAGCAATTAAATTACAGAAAGTTTTCTCTTT